TCGTGCCTGTGGAGGCCCCCCGCGGGCACCTCTTCCACCTGGAGCTGTTGGATGAAGAGGAAGAGCTGGCAAAGTACCCCCGCGTCCGCGTGGTACTGATGTGCATGTGCGAGAGGGAGCAGCAGCTGGGGGACGTGCTGTGCTTCCTCCACCACCCTATGGAAAACCTGATGCAAAATCAGGAGCCCAGCCTCCTACAGACCCTCTGCACTGACGTCTACCTGGATGTGGAGAAAATGGTCACCTGGTTCAGGGTACAGCTGGCAACAATCTGGAACACCACCCTTCAGGCAGACGCCTACAACCTAAAGGTGCTGCCCTCCAGACGCTCCTGTAAGCTCCAGCTGACAAACACCTCCAGCGGGGAAAAAATCCTGGTTGAGCTGCTGTTCGGGGTGCAGCAAGGCAACTCGGACATCTACCTGAGCAGCCAGACCACAGAGGGCAGCTTTACGCCCAGCACCGTATGGTCGCATAGCTCTGCTGTGGCGGAAAAGAAGTACTTCCAGTACTTGCTCAAGAAGGCTGGAGAGAACAGCGTCATCCAGAGGTGCCTGAGGTTCTTATCCCACACCCTGGTGGGCATGGGCTTTTCCAACTATATCCTCAAGACCCTCGTCTTCCACCTCGTGAACATCGTCCCTTTGGGGAACTGGCAAAGGAGGAATTTCCTCAGTCGGCTGGAGAATATCCTGCAGTACCTGCTATTCTGCCTGAAGTACAAACGCCTGGTCCACTTCTTCATTGGCAATAAGATGATGCCCGACGAGGTTATCCTGCCGCACAGCTTCCGGACAGCCACCCCGCTCAACCTCTTACAGCACCTGGAGGACGACCCGGACGCCGAGTCCAGGGCACTGCGTGACTTCAGGGTGCTGAGAGATCGCTTCTTCAGACTGCTGCTGTTTGGACGCTGAGAGAGTTCTTTGTCTGAACTCTTCTCTCTTTTTGGCTCTAAGCTCACATGCTGTGAGCAATAAGACTCTGGCCTGTCTAGGAGGCCAGAGGTGGGTGTTGCCATGTGGCAGTCAGCACCAGTTTGTGGACAGTTTACATTTGAAAGGATTTCTTTGGAGAGAGTTTCCTGGTGGAAGATCTGGCCTGTGACCAAATGACTCCAGCTTGGTTCAGGAGATCTGGGGATAGTACCACTGTATCCTGTGAAGGCAAGATGCAAGTGGGCACTTCCCTGCTCCCTCTTACCTGCTGGCAAGGCCCGGAAGATGGGAACAAAAGGAATTCTTGCTATGGTCCACAAAACAAGAAGCTGTCATTCCAACAACAGCTGACTCAACCTCTCTGGACTTGACTTCTAAGTTTGTACTGTCATCGGAAAAAGTCGTTGCTGTGGTCGTCGTCATCATCCGAACAACAACCTCCGACGGCCCATCGCTACTGAGGATCAACATCTGAGCTACGAGTTACGCTGGAGACCCAGTGGTGACTCACTGTCTCTTGCTATCTACAGAGACTCCTTGCTTTTATTTCCAATCTCTTTTCCATCACCCGACCTACCTTTCCATCTCCCTAGGCAACTAGGATTTGCAATAAACTGGTCGGGCCAACATTTGACCTGTTGTGTCTTAATTTTGCCGTCGTGTGCACAGATATCAAAAGAACCTCCTAAATCTCCCTCCTATAAATTGGAGCAAGACAGCCTTCGTGTGCAGAGCTCTGCTTGCCGGGAGCACCGCACACGGCAGCCGTTCCCTGCTACCACACCGTGAGGAGCCGGACCCCGTGCAGCTGAAGAGGTGTCTGCACAGAGCTTCTAACAGAGACTCCTGTTACAGCTGGGCAGGGACCGCCCGGCCTCTCCGAGAGCCGCGTCCCTTTTGTTCCGGGAGCTTTGGCCTCTGCACAAAAGCCAAGAAATGCCTTGCTCAACTCAGAGCTGTGTTTGAGTGTGACCTGTGCAAGGAGGGACTGCAGCGTCAGCTGCACAGTGCCGTGGTGAGACGGCTTCAGAATACTGCCATGACGGGAGAGTCCACCGTCCCCTGGGGCAGTGAGATCTGTGCTCGGTCACCCTCAATTTCAGAGGATGCTCTGTGATGTTCAACCAGCCTCGTGTGTCCTTTTAGGAAGGCCGAATGCCATCTTATTTTACCAGAACCTCTATCAGCTGGGGCAGGCATGTAAGTTCAGAGGAAAATCACAGAATTAATCAGAAAAAAAGCTTTCATGCTTGGTTCCTCCCTTCCCACTCTTGGGAATTGAAGCCCTTGACGCCTTCCTTGCCCTGGCAGTTATGCTGACCGTTACAACGGCCCTCCCGGCCCCGCACTCTGCCTCAGCGCTGCCTCTCCTCAGAGGGGAGGGGAGGGCACCTGGGGCCTCCTCTCCCTCCTGCCTTTGGACTCGGCAGTTTTGGCCGCAGTTTGGCCTGTCAGGGAAAGGGCCAGCAGCCAGCGCAGGGAGACGGGGAGCCAGAAAGCTTAGGATCCCAGAATCACTCAGGATGCAAAGAGAATTGCGATCCCCGCGCGCAACCGCTCCCCACCATGCCCACTGCCCACCTCCCTCAGTGCCACATCTCCAAGGCTCTGCAACACCTCCAGGCAGGTGACCCCACCGCTCCTGGGCAGCTGTGCCTGTGCTAACTGCTCCTTCTGACGAGGTCTTTCCTAACATCGACCCTGAAGTTCCCCTGGCCCTACTCAGGGACACCCCTCTCATCCTGTGGCTGTTACCCAGGAGCAGACGCCGATCCCTCCCTCGCCCCCAGCTCCTGTCAGGGAGCTGTAGAGAGCAGCGAGGGCTCCCCTGAGCCTCCTCTTCTCCACGCTGACCCACCCAGCTCCCTCAGCCATGTGCTCCAGAGCCCTCCCAGCTCCATTCCCCTCTCTGCACACGTTCCCGGGCCTCAATGTCCAGCTGGCGGTGAGGGGCCAGCACTGAACGCAGCGCTCGAGGTGCAGCCTCACAGTTCTGAGTGCAGAGGGACGTTGCCCTTCTGCTGCTGACCGCACTGCTGCTGACACAAGCCGGGAATGCCGCTGACTTTCCTGGCCACCTGAGCACACTGTTGGCTCGTGTTCAGCGGCTGTTGCCCACCACCCCCCCAGGACTTTTTTCCTCAATGCAGCTCCCAGCCACTCGGCCCCCAATCTGTGGTACGTCTTGGGGTTGGTGTGAGCAAAGCGCACGACCCGACCCTTTATTCTGCTGGATTATTGGAAGCTCTGCTTTTGTACCAGACTGTTCTTCTTGCTCTTTTGGAACATGTGGCAGTCCCTAAAAAGGAACCAGCACGATGATAGCAGCAGTGAGGAGGACAGCTCTAGCAGCAAGGAGGAGGAGGTAAGGGGCAAGCATGAGGAAGAGAACAGGAGGAACTTGTAGAACAGGTGGAACAGGACGAACAGGAGAACAAAAACTGTCACCTTCCATCTTGTGGAAGACCTGGTCAGGGAGGTGATTGTTCCCCTCTTGTGAAGCCCCATCTGCAGCACTGCATCCAGGCCTGGTGCCAGCAGTACAGGAAGGATGTGGAGCTCCTGGAGCGCGTCCAGAGGAGGGCACTGAGATGGTCAGAGGGCTGGAGCACCTCTGCTACGAGGAAAGGTTGAGGGAACTGGGCTTATTTAGTTTGGACAAAAGAAGGCTCCGGGGAGACCTCATGGTGGCCTTATGTCACGGGATTATTATTAATAAAAGTCCGTGAGGGGGCACAGGACCAGGAAAGAAGAGGGAAAAAAAAAAAGGTACCGGTTTGCTGATACCCGGCCGGCCCCGGGCCACGTGCGCTGCGGGAGAGGGGAAAGGGCAGAGAGCTGGCCGATCGTTAACAAAGAGAAAACACAACGGCAACGATCTGAGATGGAAGGGTAGTGTACTGAATTTAACTAAATCAAACAAAACGAGAGAGACAAGAGTATAAAAAAAATGAGAGTCAGACCGCGATAGTGCGAGGGAAAGCACGCGGCGAGCTGAGACGGCTGAGCCGGGCAGCACGGAGAGAGGCAGCCGCTCCGGGTCCTGTCCGCAGCTCCAGCCTCTGCCGGCGAGGTCCTCCGGGGATGCCGCCCCCTCCCCTCCCATCAGGTTACTCAAAGAGTCCACAACAGTAAAGGGAACCAGAACATTAACTCGTTAACTCCCGCTGGTCCACATGATGTTCTGATGTGGAAGACTGACAACAAAAAATCATGGAAGTGCAACACTTGCCAGTATTTCAATGGAACATATAGACAGGAGGGGGAACGGCTGTTTATGAGGGTGGATAGTGATAGGACAGGGGGGAACTGAGACAGGGAAGGTTTAGGTTGGATGTTAGGAGGACATTTTTCACCAGAGGGTGGTGAGTCAGTGGAACAGGTTGCCCAAGGAGGCTGTGGATGCTCCATCCCTGGATGGGGATTCAAGGCCAGGCTGGATGTGGCTCTGGGCAACCTGGGCTGCTGGTTGGCGACCTGCACATGGCAGGGGGTTGGAACTGGATGAGTATTGTGCTCCTTTGCAATCCAGGTCATTCTATGATTCTTTGATTCTATGATGTTGTCCCCACAGAGGTGGCTCATCCTGACTCAGCAGACACAGCTCAAACTAGAGATTCCTCTGTTTTCAGCCAAGTCCCAGGATGTTCATCAGGAGGTGGGAGGATTAAGAGGGCTGGTTTTCAGCAGGGAGGATCTCACTGGAAGAGAGCAACACGTTTTCTGTGCCAAAAGAAATTCTTCCTAATGCTTTTCTTCCAAGGCTGAAAATCCTGTGTGCTGGCACATGTCCCATACAACATGCATTCCTTCCCAAGCACAGTCACAGGGTTGTTCTTAACAAAAAGCCCCACCTGCGGTTTGACAGTCAGGGAAGGGAGATGCCTACACAGCGGGGAGCAGGGCAGGGTGAGGAGCATAGGCACAGAAGCAGGAAGATGGGGAACCAGCCCTCCCACAGGGTTTGCTAAGAGGTCAGTGGATCTGACTGTGCTTGGCAGGACTGAGTGACAGCACAGACATCGCTCCGCTACACCTTCCTCTTCCCCTTGTGTCTTGCAGCATCCCCTTCTATTAAACTCCTGGTGGATGACCCGATAGTGGTGAACCCTGGAGAAGCAGTCACCCTGGTCTGTGTGACGACAGGAGGGGAGCCAGCCCCCAGCCTGACGTGGGTGAGGTCTGCCGGCGGCCTGCCTGAGAAGACAGTCCTCAATGGCGGAACACTGACCATACCCGCCATCGCGTCAGAGGATGCTGGCACCTACAGCTGCGTCGCCAATAACAACGTTGGAAATCCTGCAAAAAAATCCACCAACATCATCGTCAGAGGTAAGCTGAGCTGGGAAACCAACAACCTTTACTTTGGACTTTAAATTGAACCATAATCTGGCAGGACAGCTGTGTGTCCTACCTTTCTAAACACATTTCTGGTCATTTCTAATGATGCGTGAGATTAATTGGTGCTGACTTAAGATAGCCAGTGGCTCTTGTGGTAGGTCCAAAGCCCGTAGTTGGACCAAGGGTGCAGCGGAGCCCCTTTGCACCACGAAGATGCAGCAGTTCTCCCACTCAAACCAGAGATGAACGCTTGCCAAAGGCCACAATGCGCATTGCGTGTGATGGGAAGACTTGGCCATCCTCTGCACACCCCCTTTCAGCAGTGCCTTCCAGGCAAGAGCCACGGCAGAGTATCTCTCCTAGTAGCCATGAGATCCAGGAGGTGTCATTTCCTACTTCACCCTTTTCTTCCTCCTCATCAGCTGAGTGTGATACAGAAATGAAGGCTGTTGTGCACACTGTGAGTCTGCTGCCGTCAGAGACTGCTCCCTGGGTAGGAGCTTTAGATTAGTATCTATGCTTTAATTATGCAAAATAGTAGGATAAATGTCTGTCTTAGATAAAAGGAGAGTGGAGTGCTTGCAGAGCAATTACTGTGAGGTGGAAAGAAACTCTCCCCACTTGTTTATTGCTTTCTGGATAACCCCAGGGATGTGGCCAGTTGGTTTGAAGGAAGAGTTCACTTGGCTGGTGGGCATCACCTGAGTGGATTAATGTACCTGAAGCGAGCAGTTCATCTGAAACTAATTTTCTATAATCTATGAATGCTACTGAAACACGTTATGGGAACGTTAAATAATGCCATGTGATTAATCATACTTAGGAGAAACTGCTATATAAGGAGCCAGTGGTGTGAGTATTTTATGAGAGCCATAACCCCTGTTCTCTTCGTGTTGCCCAACATATTACACTCTTCAGCAGGATGGTGAATTGGAAGCTATTTCTGTTCAGGGGGTCAGGGAGAGAGCGTCGCATCAGCCTCGGTCTGCAGGAGTTTATCAGGAGAAGTCCACAGATTTATTTGTAATACGGTATTTCCATTTGAAGTTTTTGACATTTGGCTTAGGGGGTTTGTTGTCAAGAGGCCAAAGCAGTGTTGTTTCAAGAACGCAGCATCGACATTAATTTGCTGTGATTTACAACGGTGATGAGGTTGGGAAGGGAAGGTGGGAGTGAAGCACTCGCTCGGAATAAGCAAAGGGAGAGGAAAGGCTTTGTGTGAAAAGAAATCTGAGCATTTTAATTGACCCAGCAGACAGCACCGGGGAGCCCAGAGGAGAAACCAAGTCCCTAGCTCCCTGCAGATACAAATTTCATGAGTCATAGCATAATAATGATATGCCCTCACATTTTTATTTATAGAAGCCCATGGCTATGAGATGCCTAGGAGCTGCAAAACGTTGAACAAAATATCATTAAAACATTTGAGGAAGTTTTTTTTCTTCTTCTCTGCTGTACGGATGTTAAATCTGAGAAGGAAGCAGCACAAGGAACACTCCCCCATCCAGTCCTGCAGTGCAGCATCCCAGAACACTGCTGCTAGGATTTTCCCATTCGCTTTTATTTCTGATTAAGGAAAGGACTGTCTTTAAAAAAAAACCTCTTTTTTATTCTGGTCTTATGTGTATTAAAAGGAACATTGAGAAAAGTAGCAAAATACGAGAGGAATTTGTATCCAAGGCTGGATTTTGTTCCTCAGCACTTTCCCTGCAGCTCATTGCTGCGCTCTCTTTCATCTCTTTTTTTTGTTGTTGTTTATCAGAATTTTCACACCGCAGCTGAGGAGAAAGGAGTATTAACTTGACATGGCAACTGAGCCTTGCAGGAGAAGCATTTGATAATTGGAGTTTGCAGCTTCTCTCAGGTTGGACTGCTGAGCCCAGGAATAGACAGTAATCCCCCAATCTTACGTAGATAGAAATGTAAAGATGTAAAAAGTGCCATCAGGGCTTGGATTAAATTTGTTCCTGTTAAAATTCACTAACTTTCGCCATGCTTTTATCTGAACATTTCTTTTTTGTGTGTGTGCTTCATCCCATTGATGCCAGCTTATCTTCAGGAAGCTTTTGGCATTTTCCTGTCTTTGTAACTGCCCAAACTCATAAATGCCCATCACACCTTTCTTTGAATCCATTGTGAATGATGCCACATGACTGCCACACAATTAAAAAAAAAGCAACCTAAAATCAGAGAGAGTCTTTCAAAAAGAAAGAATAAGTACCTGAATGTCCAGGGTGTAAGTAATTGGCTCCTGGGACTGCCATGAGGTGCACAAGCAGCAGAGGGGTAGCAGATGCCACTAATGATTTTGGTGCACTGCTTTCTGTCAGCTCCCAGGACGGACCTGCAGCCTTCCAATGTTCATGTGCATTTAGGTGTGTTCTGTTTTTTTGCTAGCACTCATTTTCCTGCCCTCCCAATGTGCATGGCATGGAAGATTTTTCTAAACTGGATGGACCAAAGCTGGCATTGCAACAAAGAACCCATTTAGTCATAACCATCTTTGGGTGTTGTTTTTTCTCTCTTTTGCCCTGTATGCTTTAAGCAGGAGATAAGTAAAAGATTCAGAGAGCAATGCTTTTCCAGCTGGCACAGATGCCTCTATAACAAGGCCACGTGCCATTTAACTGGTGGAGCCACCATTTAGTGGGAAATGCAGTGAAATGCAGCTTTTGTGAAGAACATCATTATCAGTTCAGCTCTACCCAAAATTATTGCAAAATGCTTCACTGCACCAAAGGAATTGTCATCTGTCAAGGTGTCTGGGATGAAGCAGAGATAGAGGGAGTGCTATCTCATTTCAGCAGAGCTGGCTGCTCACCAATTCTAATTATGAAAGTTTCTTTTTGAGTATTTTCTTTAGATTAGTGAGTTCTTTAAATGATTGCAAGGCTGCCAGTGTTTGAGTGCTATTGGGTGTTCTCATCAGTGGCATCTCCACTTCCTGCTCTCAGGCTGATGAGCAGAGTAGCTTCCCTTAATGTATTTCTAGACAAAGCCATTCGAAAGCAGAGGAAGCTCTAAGGGAATCTTGATTCCTCTCATTTGATTAAGACTTGAAGTTTTTCTCCTTCTCTTTTTAAAAAAATAAAAAGCCTCAGGTAGCAAATCACATGCCACCCCTTCTGGACAAACAGAGCTCCCATCGACCTTCCAGTCTGATGTACAGATCTGTTGCTCCTCCTGCTTGGGTGATGTTCTGTTCTTCTGACTTTTCCCATCTAATGCTATTTTTCTGACGTAGGAGAAGTCATTCATGATGAAGGCCAGGGAGATGGAAGTCTAATGTACTTCTTTCAGAGCACTTTCCAACCCTAAATACCCATGTTGGATCACTTTCATCATGAATTTGTCACGATGTACCTTTGTTGGTTGCAATTCGAAGTAAATTCTAAAAAGAAGACGGTTAGTCTTCTTAATGCACGTTTTTTAAGTCAGCCATTGGTGTTTCACCACCCTTGGACCAGCACACATGGTGACATGGCTACTTCCTGATGTCCCTCACGTGCACGGCGCTGCAGAAAGGCTTCACCTTATTGTCAGGAGCTCAGCAGTTCAAGGCCTTGTTTCTGATATGGCCCCACACTCAGTTCCTCCCCTGCTCAGGCATGGGATCTTGGACATCTGGCTTCTCCTGTGTCCCAGGAAGCATTTCTGGCCTGAGAGTTTCTTGGACTTTGCTCTTGGAGGTATTTCACTCCTTAAGATCCTTCCATGTTTGTCTGGAGAAGGTACCACAAGGTATTAGAGTAGTGAAAAAGTAATATTGACCTTGTCAACTTCAAGATACTGCATAGGAACCTCATCGTCACAGTGCCATTCTGTCTTTGGGTGACAACTGGGTGACAGTTTGGGTGTCAAAAGAGAAAAGGATCAAAGTAGTTATATGGTGTATAACCTGGTGTGGGGAACCTGCTTTGGCAGGGGGGTTGGACTCGATGATCTCTGGAGGTCCCTTCCAACCCCTACAATTCTGTGATTCTGTGATATGCCTGTGCCTTCTAGAAAATCAAGACGTCTTCATCATGACACAAACTGGTACTCAAATTATGAGAACATGGAAATAAAAATATTCCAAAAATGCAGTGAAGAAGAAAATGACAAAAGAATCTCTCTGTAGATACCAGGATGTCACTGAAGAAGAAGGGATTTGGTAACAAGGGGTGTAGAATGGCTCTTCCATCCAATAAGAGAGCAGAACTGCTGGGTCACATCTTAAAAAAACATCTGTGCATCACAATGGGAAAGTGGTAGAGCAACATCAAACACGTAGCAATGATATTGTTGGGAAGGATGTCAACATACACGAGCTCAATTTTTTTGCCTCTTCAGCAAGTTCTCTCTTTAAATTCTTTAAACAGATTCCATTGTCTCTTTCATTGCAACTGCAGCATTATTTTAGTGCCAGTTGACTCTGAGTCTGTGACTTTTCCTTTCTTTGAAGTGGAAGCATAATGTCTAGAGTTAATTTTTCAAAGGGGTGGGATTCCCTGCCAGTTTAAATATAAAATAATAATTTTAAATAACCTGTGCTCTACATTAGCACAAAAGCTTTTGCTGAACAAAAAGCACTCTGGAGAAATGCAATTTAAGGCAGAGATTGCTGGAAGTACCTATCCCATTATGCCTTTAAAAACTATACATGAACTGTGTAATAGTGATTGCTAAAACGAAAGTGGAAAGAAAAAAAAAAAGACCAAGATTGAGAAATAAATTATATTTCTGTTACTTTTGTGTTAGATTAAAAATAAAAATAAAAAAAATATTGAAATCTGGTATTTCTGATGTGCACTCTTGCACTCCTGGCTTCCCTCCTGCTTGCCCACTGTGGCTCTATTTATCCTTATAGCTTCTTTGGAATTTCCCTTGTTGGTTTAGAGTGACTGCATGACCTCAAGTCTACAATGATGTCTCTGTGTACATCAGCATCTTTGCTGTCAGTCCTGAGAGACCCTCCAGTGTTGTTAATAATGGAAATGTGAGTAGGGCTG